TTTTAAAGTTACCTGTTTTTATTTTATGTACGTTGGTGCTTTGCCTGTATCTATATGTGAGGATGTTGGGTCCCCCTGAAACAGGAATTGCATACAGCAGTGAGCTGCCATGTAGGTGTTGGAGATTGAATCCAGGTCCTCTGAAAGAGCAGTCAGCACCTTTAACAGCTGAACTACCTCTCCAGGCCCGTACTTATTTACTTTGTCTTTGAGACAGGGTCTCACTATGTTGCCCTGGCTGGCCCAAAACTCACTATGTAGACCAGGGTAACCTTGAACTCACAGAGACCTGCCTGTCTCTGCCTCCCCAGGACTGGGATTAAAGTGTATATATGTGTGTGTGTGTGGATGCGCGTGTGTGTGTGTGTGTGTGTGTGTGTGTGTGTGTGTGTGTGTGTGTGTGTGTGTACTCGTGCACGAGTGTGTGCATGTGTGTGCACTTGTGCACGAGTGTGTGCATGCAGGTGCCTCGAGGTCAGAGACCATGGCAGTCATGAGCCACTTGACATGGATGCTGGGAAATGAACTAAGATCTCCTATCAGAACAGAGCATTATGCTTTTAGCCATTGAGCCATCTCTTCAGCTCCTAATTTAAAAACTTAAAAGGAGGAATTCTGTGAAGATACTTTCTGACAGCATTTAAATTGGAATCAGTTTTTATGTGTGTGTGAGACTATGGCTTTAGAAATAGCAGGTTAACCCATGGAGGCCCGTAAGTTAACAGATGAAAGCCAGCCTGAATGTGGTGCTGCTGTGTGCACCAAACACACAGAAGTGTAGGTCCCCTGGAACTGGAGTTACCGACAGTTGTGAGCTGCTGTGTGGGTGCTGGGAACTGAACCATGGTCCTCTGGAAGAGCAGTCAGTGTTCTTAGCCACTGAACTATCTCTCCAGCTCCTGGGAGCATGTATTTTTAAAAAGGAATTATAGGTTACTTTTCTCATGGCTATGATGAAATACCTGACAAAAGCAACTTAAAGAAGAAAGACTTTATTTTTTTATTTTTATTTTATTATGTATACAACATTCTGCTTCTGTGTATATCAGCACACCAGAAGAGCACCAAATCTCATAACGGATGGTTGTGAGCCACCATGTGGTTGCTGGGAATTGAATTCAGGACCTCTGGAAGAGCAGTCAGTGCTCTTAACCTCTGAGCCATCTCTCCAGCCCGAAAGGGTTTATTTTGACTCAGGGTTGTAGGTACAGTCGGTGATGTTGGAAGTCTGGGCAGCAGGAGCCTGAGGCAGCTGGTCACATGGTATCTGCAGTTGGTACTCACCTCAATTGCTGCTTTTTATTTAGGCTGGGACACCTCTCCACCCCCACCCCCCACTCCAGGGATCATTCTGTTCCCGCCTGCCCTGTGGTTTCTAGGGGTCAGCTCCAAAGCTTACCAGCCTTCTTTCCCAGGAAGACCTAGCCTTTTAGGTCTTCAGTAGATGAAGAGTAGTGGAGGTCTAAGGTCAATCTAGAATTAACATGTTTGTAGAGAAGTGCCCTAGAAAGTAACTGCAGAAACCATCAGAATTAAAAGTTGGGGCCAGTGAGATGGTTTAGTAGGTAAAGGTGCTTGCTGCCAGGCCTTAGAACCCAAGTTTGATACCTGGAACCCACACAGTGGAAGGAGAAAACCACCTCCCACTAGTTTCCTGTGATCATCAAATCATGCTGTGGCTCATGTGTGCGTGCCTTCCCCACTACACACAAAATAAATGAAATGAGTTTTTTCACTTTTGTTTCTCTGTGTAGCTATGTAGACCAAGCCGGCCTCGAACTCACAGAGGTCTGCCTGCCTCTGCCTCCTGAGTGCTGGGATTAAAGGCATGTGCCACCACTGCCCAGCTGAAATGAGGTTTTTTTTTTTTTTTTTGAATTTGTATTGATATTTAGAGTTTGCTGTTCTTGGATAGAGATTCTAGAACTTTGAGCGTTACTCCTTATACTCATAAAACTTTTGAGGGAACCCCAAAAACTTTTATGTCACATGACCTCTGTCTTAGGGTTTCTTTTTTTCTTTTTCTTTTTTTTAAAGTAATTTTATAGTTGGGGGTCACCACAACATGCGGAACTGTATTTTTTTTTTTTATAATTAACCTTTATTTTATGTGCACTGGGGTACAGGTATCAGATCCCCTGGAACTAGAGTTACTGACAGCTGTAAGCTGCCATGTGGATGCTGGGAATTGAACCCTGGTCCTCTGAAAGAATGATCAGTGCTCTTAACCGCTGAGTCATCTCTCCAGCCCCCTGTCTTAGGGTTTCTGTTGCTGTGACCAGACACCACAACTATGGTAACTTTTACAAAGGGAAATTGGGGTGGCTTACATTCCCAGAGGTTTAGTTCATTATTATCATGGTGCATTGTGGTGGTGTGCAGACAGACACGGAGCTGGAGAAGGAGCTGAGTGTCCTGCATCTTGACTTGTAGGCAACAGGAAGTAGTCAGAGACACTGGGCATGGCTTGAGCATATATGAGATCTCAAAGCCCACCTCTACAGTGATACACTTCCTCCAGCAAGACCACACCTACTCCAGCAAGGTCACACCTCCAAATAGTACCACCCCCTTTTCTTTCAAACAACCACATTTTTTTTTTTTTTTTTTTTTTTTTTTTTTTTTTTTGTTTGTTTTTTTGAGTTTTGAGTTTTCTTGTTTTGTCTGTCTTGCATGTATAGTCCTGTTGGGCCAAGAACTCACTGTGTAGACCAAGCTGGCCTTGAACTCACAAAGATCTACCTGCTTCTGCCTCCCAAGTGCTGGAATTAAAGGCTTTGAGCTCCCAGTACCCATATCAACTGTCTGTAAGTCGTTTGAGGAGACCTGATGCCCTCTTCAGGCCTACAAGGGTACTGCACGTATATGGAGCACAGACATACACATATACAGAAATAAAAGTTTTGTAAAAACAAAACCACTAGCCAGGCGTTGGTGGCGCACGCCTTTAAATCCAGCACTTGGGAGGCAGAGGCAGGTGGATCTCTGTGAGTTCGAGGCCAGCCTGGTCTCCAGAGCGAGTGCCAGGATAGGCTCCAAAACTACACAGAGAAACCCTGTCTCGAAAAACCAAAAAAAAAAAAAAAACCAAAAAAAAAAAAAACCAAAAAAAACAAACCACTAATTAATATTCATTCAATTTACTTCTACCTTTGGGAAATAATTATACTAAAGTGTTATTTACATTAGTAACAAATGGAACAATGTTTTCATTTTTAATTTATGCTTATTTTATGTGCATTAGGTTTGCCTTCGTATGTCTGTATGAGGGTGTTGGTGCTGTGGAACTAGAGTTACAGACAGGTGTGAGCTGTCATGTGGGTGCTGGGAACTGAAGCCGGGTCCTCCGGAAGAGCAGCCAGTGCTCTTAGCCACTGAGCCATCTCTCCAGCCCTGGTATTGTTTTATAGTTGTGTAAATCCCTTTACTTTGCTTAACAGGAGAGTGTGTAGTGGTTCTTTGCTTCTGCATTGATTGGGTCTGTTGGCAGTACTTCCCAGCTTGTAGCTTTTAGAAAACTTCTACGCTGAAGAGAAAAGAAAACTAAAAAGGCCCATGATGAGTATTTTGAGAATGGTTTCCACTCTGTGATCTACTCACACCCTCAGTTTGGAAATACTTGTTACTGACACAAAGTATGACTTTACCTCTTTTCAGTGGTTTGAAAGTAAAGCCTTCTGGGATTATTTTGACTTCTATAACCCTCTACCTCTAAAGGTCAGTAAACTGTCTACAGAAAACTAAACTGAACCCAAGAATTTGGCAGCCTTCTGTGACCGTCTGCCCTTTCCGATCTAATGGAGAATCAGTCTATCTCCCACTTTTTCATAACGTTCTTTCTCATTTCTGTCTCTGTTGATAAACTGTGAGGGCATTTTTAACTGGTGGCTCAGGAAGGGAGTTAGACCATGCTTGGGTCTGTGTCTTTGTGTCTTGGGAGGCTTATCTGAGGGAAGGGACACTTTGCTCTTCCTGATGTCTGGTCTCCTTCAACATTCAGGACTATGGACACTGGGGTGGCTCTGTGGCTGCCTGCTTAGTGCAGGGAAGAGGAATCGACTCTAGAAACATCAACATGTCAAGATTTATCTCCACTTTGGAAATGCATGAGCCAGAAAACAGCCTTTGTGCTTCTCCGAGGCCTGTGTTCCCCACGAAGTTACTTATACACCTTGACCTGAGCCATCCCTAAGGAGTGGGCCTGTTGTGTGGTACCCTGACTCTTCGGGTCTCCAGTCCTCTTTAAAGCCCACCAGACTTTTGAGACTCCCTTTTTCAGTTCAGGCATTGTGGGTTAATCGGAAATGACCTATAGTATTCTTCCTGTTTCCTCATATCCTGTGAACACAGGCAACCATTCTATCCCTCTGTGCTTTGTTGCCTTGCTTGCCTCAAATTATATAGTCTTCACTTTCTTTGGAATCCAGTGGATTCTTTAAGAGCCAATCCACAGACATAGTTTTTACCTGGATAGTTTATCTTTATTATAGCTGAGAAAATATTTCATTTTTAATTGTGTGTGTGTGTGTGTGTGTGTGTGTGTGTGTGTACACACTAATGCTAGAGCTAAGTTACTAGTAATTAGAAGCTACCTGGTGTGGGTTCTGGAAATCAAACTCAGGTCCTCTGCAAAAGCGGTACTTGCTCTTAACTTCTGAGCCATCTCTCCAGCCCTAGTTTGTCTTCATTTCCTCAGATCTCTGGTAGAATTGGCTTGTACTGTACATAACAATTTTGAATAATTATTTTTCCTTCAGTTATGTCTATATTTTCTCTCTAAAAGATGGTTTCCTAAGACAATGTTTAGAGTTTTAAATTCTAGGAAAGATTCTCCAAGTTGTGCCGCCTCCCCCTTTTTAAATTATTCATAAAATCATCTTTGTACTACTTAAATTACCTTGACCTGAGCAGGAGTTCAGATCTGGTAAACTGTGCTACGTAATGCTATTTCTGAATGTGCTGCTATGTGCTTATTCTAAATTTGTCCAATTTTGTCACAGCTATTTCTGCATTTGAAGTCCATCCAGTTTCTACTGAAGTCCACGAAGGGGGAGTGGCCAGATTTTCTTGCAAGATTTCATCAAACCCCCCTGCAGTCATCACATGGGAGTTTAATAGGACAAGCCTGCCTATAACCATGGACAGGTAAATGTAGCATGTTTATCTCGGATGTGGCACACAATGACGAAGACTTCATACAAAGCTTCCGAGGGGTAAACGTGATGGAACTCATTTTCATTTGGTGTGGCAGTAATTGATTTCCCTAGACATTTCAAACTTGGATTAAAAGTCACATCATGGGGGCTGGAGAGATAGATCAGTGGTTAAAGCACTTGCTGCTTTTGCAGAGGTTAGAGGTTCAGTTCCCAGCACCCACACTGAAGCTTACAACTCCCTGTAACTCTAGTTTCAGGGGAGTGGGTACTTCTGATCTCCTCCAGCATCCACTTGGTAGCTCACAACTGTTTATAACTCCAGTTCCAGGGGTCCAGCCCCCCCCCTCTGGCTTCTTCTGGCACTGCACACAAGTGGTGGACAGACACGCAGGGAGGCAAAACACTCATACACGTAAAAAACCACAACAAACAAACAGACAAAACTAATGAGCTGAGAAACATTGAATATGTTTTATTGGACTTAAGCAAGCAACTCAACAACACTAATATTAAGATTAAGCACCCTAAAGCCAGGCGGTGGTGGCACACTTCTTTAATCCCAGCACTTGAGTTCAAGACCAGCCTGGCCTACAAGAGCTAGTTCCAGGACAGCCTCCAAAGCTACACAGGGAAACCCTAACACTGTGCAGATCCAAAGATATACTAACTTGATAATTACATGCTGTCAGATTACTAAAAGTATTTGTTTTCCATACTAAGACAATTATGTTTCATTAATGGCAAAAACTTTGTGTTTTCAGTAAAACCCTGCATTTCATAGCACACAGTAGTCTTGAATCTGAGGCTGGCTGTTTCTGATAGCATTCATTGGTGCTGTTTGGTGTGACAGTATTCACAGTGTCAAGTGGGTTATGTGCTGTGTTCAGAAGTGAAGTCACATGCTGCAACACAGGCCAGCTCACCAGAAACAGCTCAGCTTCTTCTGGCACTGCACACAAGTGGTGGACAGACACGCAGGGAGGCAAAACACTCATACACGTAAAAAACCACAACAAACAAACATTGCATATTTTATACTGAATTGATTTTTTATTGTTGCATATATAGATACCATTTACTATTGCCAATTTTTTATGACTGCCCCACATTCAGGTTTTGTGACTCTATGTGGGGTTGTGACCCTGTTTTAGAAACTGGGTCGTGCAGAATAGATAGCTCTTGGTGCGGTTTAAAAAAAAAAAAGAAGTCAGGATTTTGAGAATAAATCATGCCAAGGTCTGAGCCATTATCAGCTAAATCGACCCAAGAATGTTAACAAGACGCTCTTTGTAACATGAGTGTGCTAGATTTTATAAACTATGTACTGCAGAGTTATTTACATCTCAGAGACCTGTCATGATCCAAATGGAAATAATAGAATCAAGCTAATGTTTTCACTGGTGTTGTTTTTCAGGGTTGGGAATCATACCCAGGGCCTCCGGGGTGCCAGGCTGGTTCTCTGCCACACCCCAACCAAGGCTAATATGTTTAAAGGTCTATCTATCTATCTATCTATCTATCTGTCTGTCTGTCTGTCTGTCTGTCTACCTATTTATTTTTTGGTTTTTCAAGACAGGATTTCTCTGTGTAGCTTTGGAGCCTATCCTGGCACTCGCTCTGGAGACGAGGCTGGCCTTAAACTCAGAGAGATCTGCCTGCCTCCCGAGTGCTGGGATTAAAGGCGTGGGCCACCAATGCCCAGCCTGTTTAAAGGTCTTTACAGGATTGTTTCTTTTCAATGGTTAAAAAGGTTATCTGTCAATTACTGTCAGAAGGTATGTTTAGTAAAATATAAAGATTACAAAAGTTCAGTTACATTTCTTGTCTCAACAGGGTGACTGCCCTGCCCTCAGGAGTGCTACAGATCTATGATGCTGGCCCGGAGGATGCTGGGAATTATCGCTGTGTTGCATCGACTATAGCTCATAAGCGGAAAAGCATGGAGGCCTCCTTAACCATCATTCCAGGTTCCATGCTCAAGTGTTTCTTGTTTGTTCCCTTCCATTCTTATGAGATGTTTGCTTGTCCCTCTGCTTTCCTCCTGACTGTGGTAGCATTCTTTCTGTCAGAATTTTGATGGCATTTAAACTATTGTAATAGAGTTGGTTTAGGTTTGGTATTTTCAGATAGAGACTTTCTCTGTGCCCCATCCTAGCCTTGATCTTGTAACCCTTCGACTTCTGCCTCCCCCAGGGCTGGGTTTACAGGTGTGTGCCACCATGCCTGGGTTGTAATCTATTTAGATCATAGTCTTTTACTAAGCAAATCTTTCCCAAGCAAATGTGTTTTCTGCGTCAACCTCCTTGAGAAACACTGAAGGGTTGAGTTATAAATTTTTTCACTTTTTGTTTTTAAAAGCATAAAATGCAGAGAGGCACAAAAAGACAATGTCCATTGCCAGTAAAGATGTTTGTTTCTAATATGGTATTCTTCAGTTTAAATTAACTGCTAATGGATATGAATTGGGGGGGTTGTCATGTAATAGACTTTTTCTGGGGAGACACATGCACTCCAGTTAGGGATCTCACTACAGCCCAAAGTACAGATACCACCAAAGTCCAACTGGGTGAACCAATGAGGTTTATTGGGGTTCCTTACAGGAATATGGGTGAGGAGTTACTTATAGGAGCAGAAATGACTCAGAGTCAGCTGCATCACCAAAGCCAACCCCAGCATGAGTGACAGCTTGCAGAGCTGGGAACCTGGAGTGCACTCAGCCTGCAGGTAACTCAGCAGGTTGGAGAGTGGCCTTTCCAAGGGACTCACTGGATTGTGTGTGTCTTCCAGGCAGCTCCCTGATCTCTGCTTCTACCGTTTGCTGGGCCTTTGTATCTCACCTCCTCTGAGAGTGACTCTCAGCAGTCTTCACTGTTTATACTTTTGGGGTTTGAGGGGACAGAGTGAGTCTGGTCAGTTTCAGGGACTTCCTAGGCTATTTAGAGTTCTTTACCTTCAGTGGTAATGAGCTTCCCTGCAGGATGGTATGTTTCAATCTCTGAGGAAATTACTGCACAATTGGGGGGGGGCAATGAAAATATTCCATAATTAATTATAATAGCTATTTAACTGAAAATTCTAAAAACCGTTAAGTTAAACATCAAATGGGTAAAATGTATGTATATCATAAGAGTTAGACCTCAATAGCACTTAAAAAAAAATCTTATTTAAGAAAAAGAAAGGAAGAAAAAAATGAGGGACTGGGGAGAGGGCTTTGAAAGAACACTTGTACAACTTTGAGACCCTGAGTTCCACGTAAAAGCTGTGTGCCTGTAACCCCAAGACAGGACTAGAAACAGGAAGACCCTGGTAGCCTGGTGGCTGCCAGCCTAATTCCAGGTTCAGTGAGAGACCCTGCTTCTCAGGCATAAAGGGCAGAATGACAAAACAGGGTACCTGAGGTCCTCCTTTGGCCTCTGTACCTGTGCACACATACCACACCCAAACACACCATACAACACACACACACACACCACACACACACACACACACGCACACACGCACACACGCACACACGCACACTCGCACACGCACACACACACACAGGAAGGAAGGCGGGAAGGGACTGAAAGACGGAGGAAATGAATGGGAAGCAAAGATGAACTGGGCGGAGTGGCACTCACCGGTCCCCAGCACTCATGGAGTAGACCCCCAGAAGTTGAAGGTCATCCTTGAGTATATAGGGAATTGAAGGCTAAACTAGGCTACGTGAGATCCTGTCTCCAAAAATGAAATGATAATTGAAAGAAATGAGTAAGAACTGGTGTTTTAATGTTTCTTGTGACTTATGTGTCTGTCCTTTCCCGCCCAAAGCTAATGAGTCAAGACCTTTCTACATGCCGACCATTGTAGCGGGTCCACAGAATGTAACCGTGTCACTGCATCAGACAGCTGTGCTAGAGTGTATGGCCACAGGCTATCCCAAACCTATCATTTCCTGGAGCCGGCTTGGTAAGTAGTCCTCCTTACAGGGGGTGGGAGGCAAGGGAGTCCTTCCCTTGAACTTTATTCTTTGTGGTGAAACTGATTAAAAAAAAAAAGTGTTTTATAGATAAGACACATTTGGCTGTTACTTCTGAATGACTTCTTTTTAGCTTTGCAATATAAGGAAAGCTTATGCTCCCGAGAAATTGCTACTTTGTAATGATTGATTTCACAGATAGTGATCATTTGGCATAATTTGAGATGAAGTGTCTTGTTTCAACTTCTATGTTCCCTTTGAAATAGATCACAAGTCCATTGATGTCTTCAATACTCGGGTACTTGGAAATGGCAATCTCATGATATCAGATGTCAGGCTGCAGCATACTGGAGTGTATGTTTGTCGGGCCACCACCCCTGGCACTCGGAACTTCACAGTTGCTATGGCAACTTTAACTGTGTTAGGTATGCATTCTTTCTATAACCAGGAGAAGCTTGTGTTTCAGTATTTGTCATTTTAATTTCTTTCACAGTTTTCTTTTTTAAGATTTTGTTTTTAAGTGTGTCTGTATGAGTATAGGTATATGCATGTGTGTGCAGTGCCCAAAAATTCCAGAAGAGGGTACCATAGTCCCTGGAGAAAGTTGTGAGCTGTCCAATGTGGGTGCTGGGAAAGAACATGGGTTCTCAGTAAGAGCAGTAAGTGCTCTTAACTACTGAGGCATCCTCCAGCCCTACTTAACTTTCTTTTGACTCCAAGTTTGGCAGCAGTGATGGGGAGGTTGATAAATATTGTAAAAGCCTGCAGTGAGTTTTGAAGGGGTTGGGGTTAAATTCCTGTGTTAAAATACAGCTCTAGAATCATGTTGTAAAGTTGCCGTGTTTATGTGCATAGCTTCCACGTTCCTTCTCACTTAAGCTTCCCTTCTCCTTGTCAAGCAACCCACATATCTGCACATAGTTAACGATCTAAACTCAATCTCTTGTTGACTGTGTTCACAAGTGTTGTCTATTGGGCTTAGCTAAGATGGGTTGTGGGTGTTGTCAGTGTGTTCACAGGTGGTCCCAGTGGAGGAAAGCAGGTGCTGAGCATTAGAGAGAAGTACTCTCCTCGTTCTGTTTCTATTGCTGTGATAAAATACTGCGCCCCTATGAAAACTACTTAGAGGAGAAAGGGTGGATTTTAACCCGAAGTTACTTCCAGTCTGTTGTTGTGGGGAAGTCAAAGGAGCCCCAGATAGCTATTCACATCACAGCCATAGTCAGGAGGAGAGTAAAATGGATGTGTGCATGCTTGCCTGCTTGTGTTCACCTTGATTACCCCACTCTAGTCAGGATTCCCTGACTAGACACCCACAGGACAGCCCAATGTAGACAGTTCCTCCCCGAGACTCAGTTCCTGGGTGATGGTAGGTTGTGTCAAGTTGACAAGGAAAGCTACCACCACAGCCTAGCTGGTTGTAAGAGACATCTTTACATATGGGGCTTGTCTCATTTTTTGTAGACTTCTTTCACTCTTTCTTGTCATTCCTATTGAAGCTAGGGGACATATTTTTTTTTCCCTTTTAAAATAGCTCCTCCTTCATTTGTCGAATGGCCTGAAAGTTTAACAAGACCACGAGCTGGCACTGCACGGTTTGTGTGTCAGGCAGAGGGAACTCCCTCACCCAAAATGTCATGGTTGAAAAATGGAAGAAGGATACATTCAAATGGCAGGATTAAAATGTACAACAGGTAAGTGATACTACTTTTAAATAAAATAATCCCTTTGTTAGTATTTGCATGAAATGGTTATAGCAGCATCAGACTGCCACATAATCTTGTCAGTTAACACTAAATGTTAAGAAATTAAGTTTCATAGCATTAGTGTGCCATCTATCCTATTGTATTTTATACATGGATCAAAAGTGATGTGTTATAATGGAGCATATGCTAAACAGTCCCCCAGATGGCAGTTCTAGCCTGGTAGGCCACTAGCTGAGTGACCACAGCAAACACGGACTCTGCTGCCTTAGTTCCTTGTCTCATCAAATTAAAAACCTAAGAATGAAGTAAGTCAGCCAGGCATTGGTGGGGTGCACGCCTTTAATCCCAGCACTTGGAAGGCAGAGGCAGGCAGATCTGTGTGAATTTGAGGCCAGCCTGGACTACAGGACAGCCAGAGCTACATAGTGAGAACCTGTCTAAAAAAAAAATGTATATATAAACATATATGCATATATGTTTGTGTGTGTGTGTGTGTGGTAGCAGTAGTACTTGTGGGGACCACTAGCTGACAAATAATAACATGGAAGCTTATTACTTATTAAATCTCTGCCTTAGCTTAAGCTTGTTCCTAACTAGTTCTTATAACTTAAACTTACCCATAGTTTTTAATCTACTTTTTTCCATGAATGAGTTCATTACCTCATTTCCGTACTTCCTCTGCACCTAAACAGAGTTCTCTCTCTGTCTAGAAATTCAGCCTATACTCTGCTGCCTAGCTATTGGCTGTTCAGCTTTTTATTACACCAATCACAGCAATACACCTTCACACAGTGTACAAATATCCCATAACATATATTTGTGTGTGTGTGTGTGTGTGTGTGTGTGTGTGTGTGTGTGTGTGTGTGTGTGTGTGATTTTTATTCTTGTAACATTCTCATTTAGTTGAACCAAACCTTACATTTTTTTGTTGGCCTGAACTTTATGTGTGCAGTGCAGTATGAGTAAAGTACAGACAATCTTACCAAACACCATTTACAAAAGAAAAAAAAAAAAAAACAGTGATTAAAGCAAAGAAAATTTGGCTATCATAAATACTGATGAGGACTGGGAATATAAATCAGAGTAGTTTTAAGTAATGTAGATTATTTTTAATTAAAACTGGTTGTTCTCAGTGTGTTTTCATATAAGGTAAGAGTACATTTAACAATAGCTTTTTAATGTCATTCCTAGAAATTTTCTTTCTTATAGATATAATTTTTTTTTCTTTCCTCAGCAAATTGGTGATTAACCAGATTATCCCGGAAGATGATGCTTTTTATCAATGCATGGCCGAAAACAGCCAAGGGTCTGCTCTGTCTCGAGCCAGACTGACCGTGGTCATGTCGGAGGATAGACCCAGCGCTCCCTACAATGTTCATGCTGAAACTATGTCAAGCTCCGCCATTCTCCTAGCTTGGGAAAGGCCGCTGTACAACTCTGACAAGGTCATCGCCTACTCTGTGCACTACATGAAAGCGGAAGGTAGGTGGCTTGACAGCCTTCACTAGCGCTGTTTGCTATCATGGGTTTGTTTTCAGTGGTGAGAGACGTGGCTCACTTGGTAAAGTGCTTGCCTGGCATGCATGAGGCCCTGGGTTTGATCCTCATAACTACAGAAACTCATGTGGTGGCTCATACCTGTGATCTGAACACTTGGGGGCTGGAGGCAGGAGGCAGGCAAATCAGAAGTTCAAGGTTATTCTCTACTACATAGCAAATTTGAGGCCAATCTGGTCTACTTGAGCCAGTATCTCAGCCCAACCAAAACAAACAAAATATTTGTCTTCGGGATGAGTAACAGCTTACACAATTGTTAAAGAGAATTTTCACCCCAGGGAACTATGTATATAACATCAACTCTTGTCTCTTTCTAAGGTTTCAATGGCAATTCAAAGATCTGTCCTACCAGTGACATTTTTGGGATGACTTAGAGAACATGGGTGAGGAGTTACGGACAGGAGCATGAATAGCCCCCAAAGCAACCCCACAGCAATCTCTGTCTCTGTCTCCCCGCCCCCCCCATTTTTTTTTTTTTTTTTTTTTTTTGGTTTTCCGTGACAGGGTTGTCCTGGCTGTCCTGGAACTCATTCTGTAGACTAGGCTGGCCTCGAACTCATAGAGGTCTGCCTGCCTCCTGATTGCTGGGATTAAAAGGAGGTGCCACCACCACCCAGAAATTCTGCAATTTTCAATTCTATGTATGTTGGATATTTTCATTTTGAAAGAAAATTAAACATGACAGGCTGGGATAAAGCTCAGTGGCAGAATCCTCAAATAGCATGTAAAGGGCCCTGGGTTCAATCTGTAGTACCACCAAATGAAAAAGAAGCCATGATAAAAGTTGAACAAGACATTGTTGTTATGTCTCATTTACCATGTGAAATTAAATATCAGGAGCTGGAGAGACAGTTCAGTGGTTCAGGCACTTGCTGCTTTTGTCGAAGACCTGGGTTTGGGTCTGAGAACCCACATTTGGTACTTCCTACTGCTTGTAACTCTGGCTCTCGGGGATTCAACCCTCTCTTCTTGCACCCTTTGGCACAGGCACATATGTGGTGCACATAAAAAAAAAAATGTAGGCACTAATATACACAAATACACATATACAAATAAGTCTTAAAAAGTTACATATTAGCTGGGTGGTGGTGGCGCATACCTTTAATCTCAGCACTTGGGAGGCAGAGGCAGGTGGATCTCTGAGTTCGAGTCCAGCCTGGTTTACAGAGTGAGTTCCAGGACAGGCAGGACTGTTACACAGAGAAACCCTGTCTCAAAAACTCTTATAATTCTGGTTTAGAATTACTGGTTTGGGGGATTAAGAAAATCCTTCTTCTCTTTTAGACAAAATTGTTGCAGAAGCAGAAAAGCTACTTAGAAATCCTGGTGATTTCTCCATCGACTAAGGTTTACACATGTTAGTTTTATGCAGGAATGGTCAGTCTGGCTTTTAAGCATTATGGACCGGGGTGAACACTGAAAGAATGGTGCTAGCCTCATGCTGTCTTTGCGGACAGGTGGTTCGCTGTTTGGTTTTTACACTTTGAAGCAATGTTTTGAAAAGGGATATTTTGAATGTAAATCAAGGGTCCTGGTAGCAAGAAGAATGTTCTGGTAAAGGCATGCTGGAGTGTGTTCATTCTCTCCGCTGACTCAGGAAGGCGAGAGGAATGCTGGCTTTGGCGGGGCCCACTCTTGTTCACTATTGTGCTGGCTTCATTAGAGCCCCTGCGTGGCGCTCAGCATTCTATTCAGGAGCAGAACAAGGCCTTTTAATCTGAACTCAAGGACTTTGTTTAGTAGGTCAGAAATTGTACTATGCAGTTCCTAATTAACGAGCCATTAGCTGGTGTGTTGTGAAACGCCTCTAATCTTGTCTAATTAAAATGCTATGAAGTTAATTCAGAAATGTGGGAAAACTCGGTGCTGGAATGTGCCTTCTGTTTTGTTTATAAATCCAGGGCAGGGAGAAGGGGCCGCTGCTGGGAACAGTTTGATAGAGTTGACAAGCCCTGCCGGTGGACTGTCGTGCACACGGTGGCTGGCGGCACTGTGCCTCCCTTCCCCAGGTCTGCGCCACGGGGATTAAGCCCACACAGACAGAACCCCTTCTGAACCTTGCCTTGCAGATTTACTAAGAATCCCTGAGAGTTTGTTTCTCTCTTTAAAAAATTGAGTGATCACCGTGGGACACTCTTCCATTTCACTTTCAGTATTAAAAGAGAGAGAGAGAGAGAGAGAGAGAGAGAGAGAGAGAGAGAGACCTGTGTTGGCCCATGTAGTGTGTTCTCTAGGGACAGAATGAGAGAGCCTTTGCAGGACAACTTTTCACTCAGTTTGTTTTTGTAAAAAGCAGAATCTGTGCACTTTCCACCGTCTCTCTGTTTATGTTCAACAGAAAGCCCAAGTTTAAGCAAGGACATTTGCTGCAGTGGTACAGTATTCTGTTGTGCTGTGCTCTCCTCGCCCACTACTCCTTACAGCCCCTCTCGTTTTGACTAGACAGTAAAAATGACCTTAGAGAAGATGGAATCTTTTCAGGAAACGTTCCAACCAATCGTTTGTAGACAAAGAACTTGGTTACTTTTAGGCAATAAAGTCCTTTCTGCACACTGAAGGGTTTTTCGTGCAGGTACATAGATGTCAACAGAGATAACCATGAGGGGAAATGGCCTTGCTAATTTTATTTTGAATATTTGTCTTGTTTATTTTGGTTTTTTCGAAACAGGGTTTCTCTGTGTAGCTCTGGCTGTCCTGAAAGTCACTCTATCGACCAGGCTGCTCTTGAACTCACAGAGATCAGCCTGCCTCTGCCTCCTGAGTTCTGGGGTTAAAGGCTTCAGCCATCACCGAGCCTGGCCGAATAGTTGTCATTTTTAAACATGGATGCTTTGCTCTAGGTTTAAATAATGAGGAGTACCAGGTGGTCCTTGGAAATGACACAACTCATTACATCATCGATGACTTAGAGCCTGCCAGCAGCTACACTTTCTACATCGTGGCATACATGCCAATGGGAGCTAGCCAGATGTCGGACCATGTGACACAGAACACTCTAGAAGATGGTAAGAAAGCACAGTTCTGGGTTTCCGAGAGTGAACCTTTGTAGATTTTTGATCACTTCAGTGAGTTAATCTGTTTGGTTAAATGAAAACAGTTGAGTTAAATCACAGGCCAATTGCTCTCTCAAGTCTCACCCTTGCTTTCTGTCATAACATGATAAAGGACACTTAAAAAGAGATTTCATTTTTCAAAACTGGCTGTAACTCCAGTTCAGGGCATCTGATGCCCTCTCCTGACTCTGAGGGCAGTGCGTGCATAGAGTATACAAACGTACAAACACTCATAAACTCTTTTAAGAAGGTAGTACATGCTTTCTAAAAAATAAGGTGAGAGTTTGTAGTTAAGAATCCCCCTCTGCACAGGCTGGTCAGTGTCTCCTTCCCCAGCAGCTGTTTACTTCTGTAAAGGGGCTTTCGAGAATCTCCCAAGCTTGGACTTTCCACACTTGGCATTTGGCATACCCTACCAGTTTCAAGAGCTCCTTCAATTCAGAGGGACACTTCCATACAACACCAGGGCATGCTCAGGCTCACACACAAACACATAAATAAATATAATAATTAAAATAAAATAAAATTCATGTTCATTTTTACTGTGATTCTTAGCCATCGAAAACTTCTCGGTTGCAATTCTGGACCCTGGACCTCCTTGTTCTCATGTGACACACTCTCCCTTGCTTCCTAGGGATTTTGGTAGACTTAGTTGTGAATTTGTCTCATTTTATACGATTAGCAAATATGCCCATCTTCATCTTGGGTAATCACCTAACAGTCACAGCAAACTGATGGCCATGCTTTGATGGCACCCTCATTGTGTTTCCCTCCTCTGGCTGGAAGTCGGCTTCACTGAGAACCTCTGCTCCAGCTGGAAGTGTCTCCACCGTAACAATGTTGTGTGCTGCCATAGAGAGGATATCATAAATACAACTGAGCTGAGTAGCATCCCGATTGTAAATTTTATGAACAACGTATTTTCTCATTTCACTAGTGCCCCTAAGACCGCCTGAAATTAGTTTGACGAGCCGAAGTCCCACAGACATTCTCGTCTCCTGGCTGCCCATCCCGGCCAAGTATCGGCGTGGCCAAGTGGTACTGTATCGGCTGTCCTTCCGCCTGAGCACTGAGAATTCCATCCAAGTTGTGGAACTCCCGGGGACTGTGCATGAGCATCTCCTGGAAGGCCTGAGGCCTGACAGTGTCTATCTGGTCCGGATTACTGCTGGCACCCGTGTGGGACTGGGAGAGTCATCGGTGTGGACCTCACACAGGACACCCAAAGCCACAAGTGTGAAAGGTAAACACCTCCTAAGGACTTTTGAATTAGAATTTTCCACTCTTAGTTACATGTAACATATCTATATCTTATTTTTAAAATTTCTATTTTCTGTGTGTGGGAGTTTGCCATGCATGTCTCTGTACACTGTGTGCAGTGCTCACAGAGGCCAAAAGAAGACTTCAGATCTCTGGGACTGAGTAAGCTGCCATGTGGGTGCTGGGAATTGAACCCTGGTCCTCTGGAAGGGCAAGCTGCGTTCTTGACTATTGAATCATCTCTCCATCCCATTTTTTTCCATCCTATATTTTAAATTTTTGTTTCATGTTTTCAAATATTACACAGATTATGAACTTAATTGAAAAAACCTAAACCTTCCCTTCGGACTGGTGTCACAGCTAGGTTGGTAGGGTCTTTTCCTAACATGCACAAAGCCCTGGGTTCAGCACCTAGGACTGCTTAAACCAGGTCTAGTGGCTCACGCCTATGTCCCATAATCCCAGCAGGAGGTGGAGGTGGAGGCAGGGGGATTGGAAGTTCATCGTTGACTGTGGTTTTTGAGTGTGGCAAAAAAAAAAAAGTCTATCCAAAAAGAGTGTGAAAAGAGGAGTGGGGTATAGTGTGGTTAGTAGAGGGCTTGCTTGCCATGTGCAAATCCTGGGTTCATAAATAAACTAAGGATTTGATTAAAATTTGTTGTTTGCCCATTCGTGGGGAGAGCCACTAATCGAACCACTAGTTTGCTTAGCAAAACTTGAATTGCTTGAAGAGTCCCAGTCAGACTGAATACCGGAGGAGCATAGTAACTGAGACCTACTGAAAGTATCATGTGTTCTTAAGTCATATTAGTTCAAAAGACGTAGGCTACTACTTATGTGGAGTCTTAGCATGACTGGTCTGTTGTTATTTGATTAGAAATACTCTACAGTAAAAATTAGGTCACACAATTGACTCTTTTACAAATATAGATACTATCTTGTTATTTACATGTCTTAGTCTTTTAGGTAGTATATTTAAAAATCCTGTTTCTAAGTTAAACATCATTGTGAAATTTGTAAATGTGGGGTATGGGGGGTGGATGCGGACGCATGCAGGTGAAGTCATGTGTGGAAAGCTGAGAACTTGTGCGAGTTGGTCTCCTCTTCCACTTTGTTGCACCTGGGGATGAAACTCAGTTCATCAGATTTGGCAGCAAGCTCCTTTCCCCACTGAGCCATCCTGCTGGCTTGTTACTAGGTCACAGTGTGATGGTTGGACTTTGTAACATTGGCTTGAAGCTGAGAGGTGTGTGCTGCCTTCTGGCTTCCTGTGGACTGAGGGTTGTTGACACAGCGCTGTCTCTTTTAGCCCCTAAGTCCCCTGAACTTCATTTGGAACCCCTGAATTGTACTACCATCTCCGTGAGGTGGCTGCAAGACACCGAGGACCCAGCCACCATTCAGGGCTACAAGCTGTTTTATAAAGAGGAAGGGCAGCAGGAGAACGGACCTATTTTCCTAGACACTGGTGACCTGCTGTATACACTCAGCGGCTTGGGTGAGTGTGTCTGCGATGTGCAGATTCTTTATCCTCCTGCTGCGGCCGACTGGGGGAAGGATTATTGGAGGGAAGAGAACTGACTCAACTACGAAGAGCTGATGTCTCTGCTTTACACACACGGTTCTTCTCCTTTCCTCCCGCTCTGGGAGTCTGTTTCTCTCTTTAAAGATCTCTGTTGATACAGGGAGATTCTGGTCTGTTATTGTGGGTATCGGATGGATGTGGAAGAGGGTTGTGGGGACCAGCAAGATGGCTTGGTGGGCAGAAGCACTTGTGCAAGCCTGATGACCTGAGCTGGGCACTCCCCCCCACCCCCTATGTCAGGGTGGAAGGAGGGAAGTGACACCTAAAAATTACCCTCTGTTCTCCACATGCCTGCTGATCTGTGGGTGCCTACTTTCACGTTACACACTTCTGTTCACACACGTAAAATAAAGAGTAAGACTGTAGAGTGAAGACTGTAAAAATGATTGGGTAACAGTAAGTATATTTAACTTAGAATCTGGCTGATTGCTATACGGGTATAAAACAATTTACATAAGTGGTATATAACAATGCCCTTACCTCTGTCCCAAATGACTGTAAATATTCCACGGTCTCAGGTCAACTGGAGATGAAACACGCATCCTTGTTTTTGGCTTTGTCTGTGTTCTCAGAGACACTGGCTTGTCCTTATTTTCTTTATGGGAGAAAAGAACTCCACAATGTAATTGTGTTTAACAAATTATAAAATTGGGGTTGGGGATATGACTCACTGGTGGAGTGCTAGCCTAACATACACAAAAGCCTAGGTTTAATCCTTAGCTCTGTAATGAGAGAGGAAGAGATGGAAGTAGGGAGAGAGAAACACCGAGACAAAGACAGACACACTGGACTGTCATGGCGTCTTATGTGCAGAGTAGGAGTGTATGAAGCATTGTGGGTTTTCCTTTTAGGTTAGCCTTTAGAGATGATGTAAGGGGAAAGGCCCAGTGGTCCTGGTGTGGGGCATCACCATTTCCATCCCTGGGTCAATTGGACATGCTGTGAACCTGTCTGTCCTTGGATGCAGGAGCACAGAAATCCATCCCGTGGTCCCTTGCTGTAGTTTTCCAGATGGTGTTTTGCTTGTAATCTTATTATTTGGTTTTTAATTTAATCAGCATTCGGTTAAATAAATTTACTGTCGATCTCTGTCATGAAGCTTGTAAATGATGAGCAGTGACATATGGTCCAGGTCGAGCTTCCTTAATCCACTGGTTATGATGATGTTAGCCCAGCCTCCAGCCCCTCTCCCCCCCAATACACACACCGAGCCTTCCGTGTTTATGTCTCTCTGTGGCTTCTCAGGGTGCCCCCCTTTCCCTGAGCTCATTGTTGATGAGAGGGAGGGGACTTGCTTGTATTCAGTTTGAAACAGGCTGTGAAGCAATTGATGAAAAGCTGGAGATGGGGCTGGAGATGGCCCAGTGGCTAAGAGCGTGTACTGTTATTGCGGAAGACCAGAATCTGGTTCCCTGCCTCTGTATGTCAGCTCACACCCACCTGTGACTGCACTCACACATAGATGCTCCTGCTGGCACATAAATCAAAATAATTTTTAGGGGCTAGAGGGCTGGCTCAGCAGTTAAGAGCACTTGCTGCTGTTCCAGAGGACACAAGCACTCAACATGGCAGCTCACAACCATCTGTAACTCCAGTCCCAGGGGATTTGACAATCTCTCCTGGCCTCCAAAGGTACCAGGCACATACATAGCACACAGAGATATATGCAGGAAAAACGCTCATATATATAAAGTGAATAAATATTCAAAAAATATACAAGTAAAAATATATATCAAATTCAGCACTTTGATTTTTCTTATTGTTAAAGAAATTTAAATATGTAGGTGAAACAAACATTCTTCAACATGCTTCTTGGGCATACATTCTAGCTAGTTTATCTTAAACAGTTGAATAATTGGTTAGAAAATAAAATAATAAAATAAGCTCTGCTCTTGCCAGAAACTCTGGATGGGGTGGTAGGAGGATGAGGACTTTAAGATGATTTTTAGCTATGTAGCAAGTTCAAGGGCAGCCCATCTCAGAAAAACAACACAAAATCACCAGTAGATAAAAGCACTTCTTTAAAGTCTTGTTAAGACATTATTATTATTATTATTACCGTATGTATGTATCTGTGTGGGGGTATTTGTATGGTATTACAGGTGTCCTCAGAGGCCTGAAGGAGTGCCAGCTCTCCTGGAGGTGGGTGTGAGCTGCCCAGGGTGGGTATTGAGAGCTCAGGTCCTCTGGAAAAGCAGTGTGTGCTCTTAACTGCTGAGCCATTGCTCCGCCCCCATTAGTTAACATTTACATTTTTTCCTAGTGATGCCTATACATACATCTGTTAATGGAGTAAATAAGGAAAAGACCCCTATTACAGAAGTGCTTCTTAATTCAGTCACTTGGAGAGGGACAGGAGGGGAAGGGAGGCAGGCCCACAAATTTTTTTTTTCTTTGAACTCTTAACGTTTTCCAAATAATAGCTTTCAAAACTATAAACTATTATTCCCTCTTATGTTTTAAAAATCAGTTACATGGGGCTGGGAAGATAGCTCGATGGGGACCTGAGGACCTGAGTTGGAATGCCCAGAACCCATGTCAAGCTGGACACAGATCATGTGACAGTAGAGTACTAGTGAGGAGATGGGAAGACAGGAGACTGTCGGAAGCTCAGGGACGGCTAGCCTGGTGGGCCAGGCCGTGGGGGGTAGGGGTAGGGGACAGTGATAACAGATCCTGTGCCAAACAAAGTACTGACACATGCACATAGCATGTGTGAATCTGTGCACACACGCACACACACACACACACACACTGGTTTTGCTGTAACATGTTATGTATACCATTTGAAGTAGCTCCATTTAAAATCATTTTTGTGTGGGGAAGTGTACGTGTTCACTCATGTACCCATCATACACATATGTGTAGAAGCTAGAGGTCAATGTCAGTTGGCTTCCTTTCCCTCGCCACCTTACTTTTTGGGAACACGTTCTCTCACTGAACTTGGAGCTCATCAATCTAGATAAACGGAGAGCTCAGCAAGCCCCAGGGACTCCTGTCTCTGCCTTCCCAGTGCTGGATTACATAGGTTGTGTTTTTATGTCTGTGCTACTACATCCAAATGGAGATCCTCATGCTTGTGAGGCAAGCATGTTACTGACCATCTCTCCAGGCCCATAAAATCATATTCAATGCATCAAATCGAATATTATTTTGGGATAGTGGACATGCCGTATCAATTTAAGTAGCTCTGAGTTTCCTGTCTGTGGGATTAGTGTGAGTGACTGGATTGCCTGAGTTCACGGTAACAAGGCCTCTGTGGCTGTAGGGCTTCCTCGCTAGGCATCAGGTTCAGGTTGCTAGTAGCAACCTGAGTGGCTGGCAGGGGTGTAGTTGTGTGGGTTCCAGTACTGTTCAGCTGTTGCGCAGACTGTCTTCAAGGTGCCTTCTAACCTGAGACCCTGATTCTAATCTTTTTTATTAAGTTCCCACCAAGGCCTGACCAGGCTTTTGGCAGGCAAGTGTTAAGATGTGGGAAGGGCAGGGTGTTCTATGAAGGGGACAGCTGACCATCTGGGACCATTTTTAGCCAGAGCATCTGGCAGTGGCTGCCTGTTTAACAGAGAGTGATGTGTCCAGAGGGCAGTAGGTTAAGGGAGCCCTGTTTGGGCCTCGCCTGGTAAATGCCGGCTTTCACAGAGTCATTGCTTGGGAAGGATGCTCGGAGTAGAGCTAGCTTTGCTAAGTGGGCTTGGAAATGAATTCACACGCTTCTGCTTGCTGATCCAGTGTCAGTTTTGTATAACAAACTGCTTTCTCAAAATTTCATTTCACACTAACTGCCTCTGATGCCTTTAGAAACAACTCCGCCTCCCAGTGTGGATGCTTTCTTTGTTGGTAATTAAGTTTTCAGTTTAAAAAGTATGTTATTGGAATATGATCTCCCTAGAAATAGTCTTTGTTCTAAAAGAAAGAAGAAGCAAATGAATTTAAGTTAATTTAAGTGTTTAAAAAAATGATCTAAAGATATGAGGGGCCCAATTTCTACTAAAAACAGGAAAGATGAAGCCAAATGATATTTAATTGGCTGGCTTGCCCAATATTCCTCCATACACCCAGTTAACTAAATTTAATTGGTGTTATTAGTGGGAGGTATTTTAGCTCATTTGGCTCTAATACCTCAAAGCCAGGTCCCTTAAGATGTGGAGTTGAAGAAATTCTCATGCCTTTAATATTAAAATACATAATAATACATATATATATATGTGTGTGTGTGTGTGTGTGTAGTATAAATATAAAATGTATAATGTATAATAGCATGTAATATATAATAGTTTAATATAATGTATTATAGATTTATATGAACAAGGCCTGGGGTCCAATCCCCAGAATTTAGTAATAAAGTGTGATATGAATTTTAGTTGAGCAGTGGAAATATTTAGTGTTTCTAGTTTTTTCAGGTTTGACTCTAAAATGCAGTTTGCTTTCCTGGGATCTGGCTTTGTGAGGAGAGGAAGAAGCATCAGGTTTGTGACTTGGGCATTTGTAGGACCCATTCTAAGTGTTGTGCTGAGGGTCCTTCAGGACCTATTTTTTCCTTGTCTCATTGAGTGTTCTTCTGAGTTACAACATAAATGTTTGCAATATTTATCACACAATAAACAAAAAATTAGTAAGACATCTTTGTCCCTAATAGTAGATTGAAAAAAAATTCCTCTTAATTTTTTCTTCTTTAAAAATAAATCTTACATTTATTTGTTTTAATTTTGAATGTGTGTGGGTGTATGCACCAGTCACGGTGTGCCTGTGCTGACCAGAGGACAAAGTCAGTTCTTTTCTTGTACCTTATGGGCTCTGGGGATCAAATTTAGCTTTTCAGTGTCGGCAGCAAGTGCCTTAGCAAGTGCTAAGCCATCTCAGCAGCCAAAAAAGAGGCTTAAAATCCTGATGTTAGTGGCCTCAGGTGGTGATGG